TCGAAACGTCGGCCAAATCGTACGGACACGAGAGGCAGCCAGCAGCTTGGCACAGCACACAACAGACCGGAGAGAGAGAAAGAAAGACACAAATCAGACGGATACACACATCGGCAATCGGGGCCGATATGCTGCGAACCGATATTTGTCTCACCGTTTGCGCGTAACACATACACATACACCGACGAAGACACAAAACTACTCCGATAGCTACGGTGAATACATGAAACGACGTCAGATAGAAGCCTCACTATTCTGCTCATACACCTCACATCTCCGAAGACCTTTGCAGGAGAAACACATCTTTTTTATCATTTTCCAAACCAAATAAAAATATATATAGAAATCTTTTTTTTTCTTCTGTTATCCACTAGAATTTCAACTCTACGATACTTTCAAATCGAAAGCTGTTTGTTCAATTTGAAATTATTATTTTTTTTTTTAAATTTCGTTCGAGAATAAATGTTGATCATTTCGACATTTAACGGAGATTTTCCCGAAAATTTGTCCATTTAAATTATTACGTTTTTATTTTTTGTCGGATTTTTTGTGCATTTTTTTTCTCTCTCCCTGTTATTTTATCGGTTTTTGGATTCTTTTTTCGTTCTGAACCAGAACGATTTTTGTCATCGCGAAATAAAAAGAATCAATCAACAAAGACTTTTCATCTGAATAAAAATTGGTAAAATTGTGCAAAACGCAAAAAAATAATAAGTTACTTAAATTTGTCAACTCGAAAGAAAAAAAAACGCTAGCAATAACAATGTTTTAAGAAATGAAAATTTAAGAGCAAATAATTAACGTTCAACTGGATGCCTTAATCTGATGGAAGTGATCAATTTTGGTAGAAAAATTAGAATTAAAAGAGAAAAAAAACTTTAAAAGTTCAGTGTTTTGAATTGATAAATTTAAACAGTAAACTCAAGTTTCAAATTAAATATAAAAAAAAAAAATAAATTGTTGGAGGTGCTGAATATGTGTTTGGGATCGAGGAAATAAGCGGAAAAAATTTGAACTGTTTGGCGAAATTCGACTTTTGGTTTTTTCGGTGAGTTTCAATTAAAATACGTTTTTGTTGTGTATCGAAAGAAAAAAAGCTTTTTCAATTATTGAGAAGGAAAAAACACAACCTAACTAAAACTCATTCAATTAATTACACTAGGGATTTTGATAGTAATTTTCTTGCGTTTAATAGCAGTTCTTTTTTCGTCGGATGATTTTGCACAATTTTTTTTTTCCAGCCAATTGTTAGAGAGCAATGAAAAAGTAGAGAAAAAGAGAATTGAAGTGCGAGTTAGTGCGCGTACATTGGCAATCATTTATCCTCGGTTGGTGTATGCGGAGAAGGCTATCACTAGATTTTTTTTCCTCTATTCTTTCACCGTTCAGTGTGCCATTTCGTCGTTTCATCATTTGGCTTTTGTACCATGAACTAAAAATTTTTGCGCATAGCGCATGTCCTTATTTATGTAGAGCCAATTGTTCCCTATTGGAGATTCGGTGTGTATGTGAGAGGCTTTGGCATTCTATGTGCTGTTTTTTTTACATTATATTTTACATATATATATATAGCTTGGTGTTGTTGTACATCACAAGATGTTATTGATGCTCGCGTTTTCGCGTTCGCGCCTCGAAAATGAGCTCGGAAAAAGGAACGCCGCGGATTGTGAACAGAGCAACATGGCAAACAACGAGAGAAGAAGCTCAACCCCGAACATAGTCGAAATATGTTGAGTGAATTGCGTATAAAATGGCAAAATATGTGTGTACAGTGTGTGATGGTGGCTGAAACTCGCTCGCCTACCTGCCTGTGTTGGTGAGAGGCGCAGATATTATAGATTTTCTAGAGAGCGAGTCCGTGAGTTTCCATTTTCTTGTCGCACCGTTTTTCCTATATCATTCGGTGCACAAAATGGAATATTGACGACGACGACGACGACAACGAAAAAGAAACCTATGACTATCCTACGCTCTTTCACTCGCTCTCTCGGGGGATTCCCCATTTCATATACAACGCAAAATAATAACGGCACCAAAGTACATCTATACCGTACTGGTTATATAAGATAAAAGCACCACCCATCCGCGCTACGAATCATCCATCACAGAGACGCCATCAGCGTGCTGTGTTCTGATTTCTCAACAGCACAACCGTTTTTTTTTTTTGGCACAAGGCACATTCCATTTTACCTTTTTTCCAAGTATACACACACACACATACACCAGCAATTTTGCGCTGATAAATTTCTCCAATGAATCCAAACTCCCACGTCTTTCCACCGCCTCTTGCTTGCTATCCATCGGTTTTGATGATGATATTGCGTCGTGGGTGCTTCTCTACCCTCTTCCATGATGAGTAGCTAAATCAATACGAGAAACAAAGAAATATTCTAATTTTCACAACACTACCAATTCGATACACGCTCACAAACACTAACACCAATTTCACGCGAATTCACACAAGTTATGCGCATTTTTTTCCAACCGCTCCATTTGTGCTTTCCATTTGTGTTTTCTCTCCCTATATTTCTGTATTTGTCGCAAGTTTATGCATAATTTAAATTAATTCGCAAAACTTCATCTGAAAATAAGCGAGCCCCGGCCGAGGCACGGGACAAACGAACAACCGAACGAAAGAAGAATAAAGCGATTTATTGATTTTATATTTATGGAATCAGTTAATAGCTTCATTGATTCGCAAATGCTAAGGGCATATGCAACACCACACAACACACTCTTCAAATATTAATAATTAATTTTGGCGGTTTGTAAATTGTCAACGCTTAGTCCAATACAATGGAAATGCAAATTTTCTCCGTTCGATTTCGTTGATCGTGCCGCATTTTGATGTGTGTATGCCATTTGTACACATTTCACTGTGTCCGATGACCGATCAAAATGAAAACCAAATGCAAGCAGATGAGAGAGTGCGCGCGCGCGCACGTGAGTGAGAGAACAAAGAATCGAGAATCGCTATAATTTAGGAAAACGATTAAAGTGAGGAGACAGAGAGAAAGAGGAGAGAAAAAAAAACGCGCTTGACTCGAAAGATGTTCACATTTTCATCAATTTGTATGCATAACAGCCGCATCAACTGCAGCACTCTGTGGAAAAAAGTCAGCTTGAAATTCTTCTCGTTACCATTCAATTTTTATTTAATTTTTTTTTTATCTTTTTTACCTTGTGATGTTCGATCGCGCGTTATTCTCTCGCTCTTCACGGTGCACACATTTTACGTCTTCTCTCTTCTCCACCGAACATTGCAGCTGCCTCATAACAGCTTCCGATGTACATTTGGCACGTGTGTCGGTGTTTACATGCGAGAGAGAGAAAAAGAGTGAAAAAACACACAACAAAAAACAAAGAATAAACGTAATAACAATAAAAGATCACCACAGCCGCAGCAGCAGCAGCAGCAGCAGCCGCAGCCGCAGTAACGAAAGAAGAGATAATTTCTGAACATTGTTTCAGGCTTGATTAATACATATGTCTTGCGAACGAATTGAAAAGAAGAAAAAAAAAAAACAACAAAACGTCTGTTCTCGCGTCGTTTTTTTTATTGCGTCTGATGGAGGAATATTTCGGCATTTGGCTAGTCAATGAACGAAAAAAGAAGACAAAAGAGATGATGTGTTAAATCTTCGTTTTTTTTTTTCGTCTTTTAAATAAAACTGATTCCATTTTATTCACATCTCGCATTATAATAATAAGATGAAACTGTTGAAAGTTCTCATTTTAAGCATTTGGTTTTGCTGTGCACAAGGTGTTTTTTTTTTAAATTTTCGACCCACAATTTCACACTCAATTTCTTATGAATTCAGTTCTCGGGCAAAAAAGAGTCATCAATCGAAATAATGGAATAAGTTCGTCTAATCGTAATTAAAATGCAAATCTATTCGTTTGTTTGTCGCTATCCATTTAGTCAATGACATTAGTACCAGCAGCACCATCATCATCCACTTGAACGCAAACGGACAAAAACCCGATAAAGTAACAGAAAAAAAATGAAACATGAGAGAAGGAATAGAGAGGAATAGAGAGGGAGAGAGAGAGAGAGAGAGCGAAAGAGACGAAAAATACTGAAAACACGCAGCCACACATGAAATTGACGCGATGGTGCGCGGGTTGTTGACCAGTATTTCCGTAAAAAACTAGAAGAATAAAGTTTTATTCGCCTTTTTTTTGGTACGTGCTACACATTTTCCATGCTCTTTCTCCGGCTTTTCTCTTCTGTAATTTCCTTTTGCTCCGGTGTGCATGCCCGTGTCCATGTAAACGATATCCGAATGGACGACAACAACAACAAAAAAGCGCTCCTTCGGTCGTTACCATACAAGTTACTAGTTGCCTTTCTTTCGTTCTGTTTCGTTTTTAATCCTGTGCGTGGGTCCAGCCATATAGCAAACTACGCACATTCGCCACCACAATCATTCTGTTCCGAATGGTGTTTCGTTGCCATAGTTCAGCTGAAAATGAATTGTGTACTTCTGACTACTACACCTATATGCCGCTGCTGCGGCAGCGGTGGCACACCGTTCGCCCGAGCAGAGGGAAGAATATGTGAAAAATGAGCTCAGAGCAAGAGTGAGAGATAGCAAATGAAACCAACGAACCGATCAATATACTCTATTTCCGTGTAACTCTTGCTCGTATTTCTGGCGTCCGGCACATGCAAGATACACTCGGTTTATTTAAAGCCTTAAAATCAAACGCTGAACGATCCGATGACGTCCATCCAGGATAAAAGTAAATGTATCGGAAACGGCAGCAACAGCACGACGATGACGATGACGACGAAGCAACAACGAAAATGAACAGAAAAAAAAACAACACAAATATACACAACACACGTAGCACAAAAATCGAGAGCAACCGGGGAGATAATGTTCTGTTAAAACCGTTCGATTAAATAACCTGAGCGAAAGCGAAAGAAAAGATCAATTTTTACTCATTTAATTAATTTCCTTCCGAGTGCAACCAAAAACCGACAGATGTTTTTTTTTTTATTCACCTCTGCAATGCTTCAGTTCAGATCGCTGAGTGCTTGCTACACATAGGCCGTTGTTTCAGTGTCTCTTTTTTATCCTCTTCTTCTGTTCGCCGTTTTTTTCCATATTATTTACGTATCACAAAGTGTTGAAACCTAACATTTCAGTCGGCGCACATGTGTGAGCACGGCCACAATGGATACGAGAAAAAAAAAAAAGAAATAAAAAACAAAAAAATAACACAAAACTCACCGTCGAAAAGAAATGACACATACATTTACCATCTGAGGAAAATAACCAGGCGAAAAATAATGTATCAAAAGGTGAATGTGTGTAGCATTTTTTGTTGTTGTTGTTGTTGTTATTGTAATATTTTGTCTATCCATTTCGTGCCTCTAAATAGAGGTAAACAAACTAATGGGCACAGCTCAACCACCATACAATACGCGCTTAAAGTGTTTGACGATTTAATACGCCAAAAAGGTACTCGCCTCGCATCGTGGATTGAATTGTGTGCACAATCATCATAGTCCATGGCATAGAGAATAATATGCAGGGAGAGCGACAGTGTGAGCAAGAAAGCAAAATAAAAACACACACACAACAGGCACACAACAACCCAAATGAAAACTAATGCACACACAATTTGATGTGGCCAAGAGAAAGAGAGATACATGTAATTTAAAGACAAGTCAAGGGTTTCCCATTCGGTCATAATCAGGTTCCGTGCACTAATGCAGCAAATGCGAACAGCCACAGCCGCAGCAGCAGCAGCAGCAGCAGCAGCAGCAGCAGAGGCACAAACGGGCGGAAAAACAATAACAACCACAACGGTAAATTGAGTATGAAACATTGATGAGTGTGTGTGGAGGTGTACAAACAATGTTTGAGCACGGGATATGCTATCGAACGATTGAGAGTGAACGAACATACGATTGCGTGTAACAGCAATGTATTGTGCACAAGATGCCTAGCAGGTGTAATAAAACAATAACAACAACAAAAACTGTAGCCCAACGTTAAAATGTTATGTGTTTGGTTTTTTTTTCCTCCTCGCTCTCTTTCTCTCCCATTTTTTTTTTCATTTCGTGTGTGAGAGACGAAGACAAGCATTTCAGTATGTAATGCACATTTCGTTTGTAGTCATCTGTCTATATCTGTGCGTGCACAGGACATTTGAGCGGGAGAGTTGAGTTGCGCGCGCGCGTCACATTTCCCATTTGTGCCCGTTGTCATCATACTCACAATATTGTAGTGATTCTATCTAGTGTGTTAATGTACTCGCTCGATATGCATATGCACACTCGATGTTTTCGTGCATTTTCAATATCTGTTTGGTCGAATCAAATGGTTTGCTTTATCCTTTTAACCGTTCAATACGTACATTGTACACACAACGAATATGTGGATATGAATATCGCGCGCCTGCAATCGAGACAACGTGCAATTCATCGCACGAATGCACCACACAGCCAAATGAATTCATAAGTACTGTTGTCGTTTTCATTTCTCGTGAGTCATCACTCACACTAATCATCAACAATAGAAATTCCAAAAAAAAAATGTTTCTTTTTTTTCATTAAATTCATCCGTGTGTTGCTTTTTTTTCCCTCCTCCATCGTTTCCTTCTTAATTTGGCGTTTTTATTTTCTACATTTTCATTATTCAGCCTCTTAGCCATTCCATTTGTCTCACTGTGTGTATGTCAAATGAGCGACAGAGATCACGCAAATGATGATCTGAGATCCATGTGTCTTTTTTTTTATCTACACTTCTGTACGTTTAAATTCTACCTCATTTTCTGTTGGTTCGTCTGTTGTTTGTTCCGAATGAAATGAATTTCGTCCTGGTTCCTTGCACACATCTCTCAATTGTGAGTGCGCGGGCTCGCTACGTTTTTTTTTTTTCATCGTCATTTCTTCATTTTTTTCTCTCTTTTAATTTCTTTGTTTGCCTTGTCTTGTCCATTTGTGCACTTCTCACCATCCAATATGTTCGGTTTGGCTCGCATTCACGTATTGTTTCAATGTTTCATTATTATTATTATTATCGTTTCGTGTCGTTTTTTTCCTTCACTACTCTCCTCCGTATTCCTCGTTCGTTTTACTTCTTTTTTTTTCTTCCATCGTCTATAAAGTTATCGAGGTGAGCGAATATAAAATGCATGTAAATAAGTGTGTGCATGGTCGTCACAAGCCAGTGCACATGCCAGAGGAATATTATTATTGTGCAGATATAATACATTAGGATAGTTCTTCGTCTCGATCTTTTCGGTTTGTAACAATAGAGCAGCCAGAAGGAATTATAGCCAAATGAGAAGAACGAAATAAAAATCGTTAATGCGGCGAGAGAGTGAGACTGAGTGTGTGTCTGTGTGCTGGCGTATTTTTTCCCTTTTATGTTTTTTTTTTCTTCTTCTTCGATTAGTTGATGCGTCTGCGCGCCAAAAATAAGCATCTTAAGCACACAAATGAGAACATATAACCGAATATAATGAATATATAATGTACTCCTACTGTGTGTTACATACTTCATTGGTCCGAAGCCTTTTTTTCTCTGTTCCACGCTCTCGCTCTCTCTCTCTTAGTCTCCCTGTCTCTCTCTCCTTTCTCCATTTTTCGACCGAAATGCTCACCAGCAGAGAAGATATATCTGGCTTCGCATGGATAAAGCTAATATATGTGTACAACCGAGTCAAAGAGGTAGATCGAGTGATTCACATTTGCGTCATGGCCGCCCCATCCACACAAACATTTCGCTATTTTTTTCAACGAAAAATTTCTGCCAAGGGAATTTCGTTGTTTTTTTTCGTTGATGCCTTTCCATCCATTCCCATATGGAAACAAATACAACGATAAAAAAAAATATAAAGAGAAGAGCTATAAAAATGGACAAACAAATGCCGCGCAAACCAAATCACCGGAACAGCATTAATGAAACCTCTTTCATTAATTGCTTCCAATGTATGCAGGTCCTAACAGACAGATTAAATTTCTGCTGCACTGAAACAAAATTACATTGTATAACTTTGAAAGAGAAAAAAAAGCTTGATGCCTCGATGATGTAGGCTCTCCGAAACGGCTTTGTCATTATTTGCCTTCAATGCAACCTTTTCGATGACGAAACTTTGTCAAATTGATCCGTTTTGACGGTGACACATGATGAACTTCAAGGGGAAATTGATCTATCGCAGTGTAAATAAGTTGACTCAGTGTTATCAATCGATTCGCTGAACTCAAAACGACAAGCTCTCGTTCGTGATCACCAAGTGCCCTCACATCACATAACACAGAGGGGATTTTGTCCGTCATTTTCTCACTCTCTTAGCGAACAATTTGCTGCTCTCTTATCAAATTATTGGTTGGGTATCAGGCGGGTATTAGTTGTAAATCTATTTATTTATTCTTTTTTTTTCCATGGCGCGCAGCTTGCCCGTGCTTTTTTTTCAATTCCTATCATCGTTCATTTCGTTTGAGATAAGTAAAGAGTATTTACACAATTAATGGAAAAATTGATAAGAATCGTGTGTTTCGATTTATCTGCGCGCGTTCGATGTTTTTTGGTTTCCGTGTATTGATGGAAAATGCGGCTCATATTTTATCTTCAAATCGATCACAAGATGAGTCAAGAATAACACAAATCACTTCGTGTGACGCAAAAACCAATATCTAAAAATAAAGATAAAGAATAGGTATTCTCTACATTTGGCCGCCAAAGTTCACATTGAATTTTCATGTCAACGGAAATGTTTCGATAGAAACAACGCGCTTCAAAAACTCGTGATGACGATTCTATTTAAAGACGAAATCCCCGAAATCGACAAATGGTTCGAAAGGCCAATCGTATTCGTGCAACATCTCGTCAGCCTATGAAATGTGCGCAAACACAAACTAACGCATTTCCCATCTCTCTTGGCTTCGAAGCATTTCTATAGAATCGTCAAATCCCACGCTTGAATGGACCAATCAGACGATGTTATGCGCTCAAATAAGATTTGAGTAGGAATCCAATGACTATTCAAATCATCGTTCAGCTGCCGAGAAGAGAGATGAAAAGCACAAAACAGAAATGCTCAAACGACTGTGTGGCAGTTTTCGTTGCTGCTGTTGTTGTTGTACATTGTCGTGGCATTGACACCAACACACAAGCATATGCACGGTGTGCTGCGTAGTTGCAGATAATGTAGAGAGAATACAGCGAGCAAGAGCGACAGCTGAACAGCAGCAGCAGCAGCAGCACTGCAACGATGAACGGAGAGCGCGCGAACGTGTGAATACAACACGAATGTTACGTTCGGTAACCACCCACAAAACGCAGATTCAGATAGTTGTCTCTTTCGGTTGTCTCCATTTTGAAGCTGCCTTTTCTCTCTGCTTTCGTGAGCTGTGCTCTGCTCTGTTCTGTGCATGTACATATTGCACCCGTACGACTGTTGTGTTTGCTTGTTCCTTTTTCGTTCAGAGCACGTATCTCTCTGGTTGTTATAAGCATACTTGGGTCCTGTGCTCGCCCAGCACACTTCATATATATGTATCGCACCTGAAGACCGTTGTATCTCTGCTTCGCCCATATACAATGAGAGCAGTTCTGCGCAAACTGTTGTTGTATTCTAATTCTCTCGTTTCATCGATGTTTTCTTCTGCCTTTTTTCGGGGATTTTAGCCTTCATTTTGTTTTTTGACTGGCATTTTTATGTTTGTTCTTCGCAATTTGCATTGTTTTTTGCACACATTGATTTCGTGATTTGCAAGCAAAATCAAATCTCAAACCAAATTCATGCATTTTTATGTGGAAAACCCCAAAAAAAAAATTTTTTTCTGGAATTCAACCATCAGATTCATTTGAATTCAAGCTTTTGATTTCGATTCACTACTTAGTCATTGATTGTAATGGCCCAGAAATTGTTCATCTACACTTTTTGTTTTCTTTATTGTTTCCCGTTTTGTGGACGATTCGTTCTGGTTTTGTTTTCGTCATTGTTCATGCATAAATCAAATTTTTTGGCTCGTTTTTATGAATGTATGTGTGTCCATCCAGCACACGATGGAGGTTTTGTAAGAAATTGATGAAACTCACTTGTTCAGCAAAATTCGAAATGAATACGAATTTAATATGGTTATAATATACCAAAGTTGCGAAAGACGACAAGTAAAAGAAAACGAACGAATGAACAGAAGAGAAAAAAAACTTGGAAGCAAATGCACACAAGAAATACTCCATGTATAACAACAACAGCAGCAACAACGAAAAAAAAAACACAATGTTGAAACAATATTTGAACGAAACAAAAGTGTCGATCATCGGCAACCAAAGTATAATTTGATGCTTTTGATTTCATTACACTTATGCATACCCGAACAAGGAAAAAAAAATGCGCGCAACTACACACAGATACATACATACCACCATGAGCAAGAGAAACAAGTTAACAGTAAAAAACAAAAGTGCCGATTCAGTGTATGCAGAGCTCATAATTCGATTTGGTGAGTGATTCAACCACAAACAATTATGCCGTGTGTACTGGACAGCATTTATATAAGGTGCACACGTTTGCCGCACAAACATTCATATTTCGATGGATTGTAACAATTTTCTTACGATTTGCTTGCTACGCTTTGGATTTGCGTTGTGTTGTGTTTTTTTTCTCTCTCTCTCTCGTCTCTCTTTCCTTTTCATTTCATTCGTTCGTTTCGGTTTCTCCCGCTGTTGGCATTGTCTCTTATATACCTTTGCTGCAAAACTCAATTCACATGATCGCATCACCACCACCGTTCGTCACCCATTTTCTCAATTATGCTGTTTGCGTTGTTGGCGCTGTAGATGGAAAACCACCGAAAAAAAAACGAACAAAATGCGGAATAATGAGAAAATGGAATTTCACAATCATTTTCTCCCTATCTCGTCCACCCGTAATGGATTTGTTTTGCTATGTGCGGTTGCCTGGCAACAGTTCAATGTAAAAATGTATAAATATATACATAAACCAAATAAAATGTACATGTATATAGAGTGAGTGAGAGCGAGTGATGGCGAGAAAAGTGCACAACTGTACATATTTGTTATTTTTCTTTCCAACTTCCATCGCGCTTCACGTTGGATGTCAAGTCCTCCGAGAAAAAAAAAATAACACAACCCAAAAGACAAATATAAATAATTCAATGTGTAGGTACACAACATAATCTAAGCCATGATGACGATGTGAATATCACGGGGACGACAGAAAAAAAAAGAGTGGAAGGAGGGCGCAGAATGAACAGAATGAAAAAAAAAATGGTTGGCATGAACGACCAAACGAACGGGAAAACACGGCATTCATTTAATGTTTCCAGCATATTGTGCAGATGTGAAATTTCGTGAAGAAAGCAATTTTTCTACCGTTGTGTTTGTACATGTATATTCACATTTTTTCGCTTCGGATTGCGGTGTTTCTGTTTCTCTCGCTCACTATTTCCATCCGTTTGGTTCTCGTTTTCATGCCTTTCGCCTTTTTTTATAATTCAGCGCACTGAGCGTGCGGGTGTAGGTGTGTGCTTATGAGTGTGAGTGAGTAGATTTTATTTCAAAACGTAGATGAAACTGGATATTATTATTCTGAATATAGATAAAAAAAAGCACACGAGAGAATATAAAATCAAGTAATAAAAGGGGAGAAAAACGAAAATGAAAATGAAGGTACACGAGAGAGAGAGAGAGAGAGAGAGAGAGCGCGCGCGCGTGTACACGAGGACTCGCGCTGAGCCAAAACGAAAAACGGTGAGGAATGCATTATGTATATATGTACACATGGAGCAGAGCTGAGTGAGAGAGAAAGCATGCAGAGCATGGGTGAAAAAAAAGTGTAGTATACAGAGTGACGAGAACGCGTTCGCGTTTAAGGTAGAAAAATCGTGCACACACGAAATAACAACCAGAGGAACAACGGAGCCTTGTGCTGTTTGTTACTTCCATAAAACTTCGTCCGAGTGTGAGAGAGATTTTTCTCTATATCGCCATCACTCCGCCGATTGTGTGTGCCACACCCAAAGTCGCACATTCGATGAGCATTTCGAGCACAGAACATCGCCAATACGACGACACACAAATTGTATCTTCGATTTTTATTTTCTCTTCGTTGTTGCTGTTCATTCGCTTGCTGCTTCTTTTTTTCTTTCGTTTCTTCCTATCTGCTCTGTCTCTCTTGTGATTCCACCATCGGATATATATTTTTTTTTCCGCGTAGTTTTGTTGTTGCCATTGTTGCGGCTTGGTTTGTTGGTTTCGCTTCGATTTTTTCCAAGCGATAACAAATGATTTTGCTCTGCTCTCTTATGCTTTGCCTTTCTTTTCGTTCAGTCTCTATCGTCCCGTTTCGACTCGGTTCGGATAATGAAATATTTACCTTGATGATTCACAGACATTGCGTCTAATGGAAAAATTCCTAGAAAAGAATCATTATGCAAAAATTGCTTGTGTGTCGAATGAAAACGACTTGCGCCCGAGTCACCGAAATTTTAATGAGAAACCTGCCAGAAGCGTTGCGAAAACGGAAAGAAGAAAAACGAAACGAATCATTTTGAAAGTCATAAAGTTCCCCAATCCCAGCCAAAAGATTGAAATGGTGTTTTGTTTTATTTTTCGCTTTATTCGGAGTACATGAAGCAGCATTAATTCGACTTTTGGGCAATTTGGGGCGAGAAAAGTATGTATTGAGTGTCTTGGCTACTTGTTTCTCCATTTTCTCCCGTTTTTCTTCTTCGTTGCTCCGCGCTCACGAAACACACACACGAAACACACCAAGAGTTTTTTTCTTCTCTTTCTTTTATGTGCAATAAACTGCCCATCAGCACCAATCGCTCATGCCACATACACATAAACATTTAGATGTAAATGAAATGGATACATCAAAACTTCGAAACGAAAAAAAGCAACTGAAACACAAAACAACTTTAGAGAGAAACAACAACAACCCAAAGTGTCACTTGAATGCTAAATCGGATTTTCTATTTCTATGGCATCTTAATTATTGATTTTCGTGTATTACGGTCTCCAAATGAGACGCGTGTGTATCATTTACTTAGAGAGAAAACGAATGTACATTCGACTTGTGATTGGTGGCTTTAGATACGCTAAACCGTACGTACATATCTCGTTTATGGTATTGTGTCGTCAAATGAAGCGAGAGACAGTGAGTGAGAGAGAGAGAGAAAGATACGCGTTGGAAATGGACGAGAAAAAAATGCATAATGTGTAGGACAGGGAGAAAACAAAACGGCACTTTGTGTTCATTTGTATGCGGTCATTCGTATCCAATACACGCATCTGATGCGACGGAATCGAATCCAACGGAAATGATAAAAAAAATAACTGACATTCAGGTATTCCAAGCGCGTCTTCGATCGACGTAATTTGAGATTTACTGTGAATGATTAGTTTTCGTGCTCATTGAAGATTTTCTATATCATTTACGCTCTTTTCTTTTCATTTTGTTTCGTTTTTGTTTCGAGTAGGCGCATTAATTGAAGCCCTCCTTGATATTTCGATTCGAATGCCATTCACATCGATTCGTCCGTTGTGAATTTGATACGAAAAACATATTCAGCCCGAATTCATGTGGAAACGATGCTGACCAATGCATTTTATTACCAATCATTACGAAATTTGAACGAGAAATCTTCGTTTTATTCCAAAAAAAAATTACGGTTAAGTGCAAAAGACAAGTAGAAAAAAAAGAAGAAAAATCACACGAAGCAAACAATAACGACGGATTTGCTTCAATAAAAAACATTCGATTGTTTTTAATTATAATTTTTGCTGAAGACATTGCACCCAACAAAAATGACAAATATTCAACAGAAAAACTCAATTCGTTGTCAATAATCTAAATAAAATAATATATGTGTAAGCGCGCAAAGCCGCACGATTTTGCAATTCTGTGGAAAAAACACGAAATGAAACAATCAAACTTAACGTTTCACGACATCAATATAACCAAGACAAAACACACTATCATTTCATCGCATTTTTGTCGCTTAGCTCAATCGCTAAGTGTGCCTGTGTGTATTCCTTCTTAATTGACATTTGTTGTTGTTTTCGGTTTGAATAGCTCGCGCACAAGTCACACGAAGTGTAGATGATGTTGCTGAAAATGATGAATCAATTGATTTTTTCGAGAGATATTTACTTGCTCTTATCGCATTGACAAATCGAACATAGCGGGATATAGAGAAAGAGAGAGAGAGAGAGAGAGAGAGAGAGAGAGAGACGGCGAAACGTGTGCATTTGTGATTGTTTCTCGATTGAGTTATCACTGAGATTTCGATTTCGTATCGATTTACAAGCTCTCAATGATATTTATCATTTGATACCTAATTATTATTGAACGCAAAACGATTAAATGTTCGCTTGAAAAGCAGCAGAAAATAAAACTAGAGACAAATGCACAAGCCTATTTGGTTGACGTGGTGACGAAAAGGAGAAAAAAAATTGCAAGAAAACTACGATTAAATACTTGGGAGTAATTAAAAGTCATTTTGCCACATATTTTCTTTTCTCTATTGGTTCCTACAATTCGAAATCAACATTTTATTGAATTTTTTTTTTCTTTTCTCGTTCGATTCGATTTTTATTGCAGATACGTGATGAACAAGCAACGACTTTCGACGGCATCTGAATCATCGTCAGCGGACACAATGGAAACTGATGATAAGATTGAGGTTCCAACTGATAGCAATAAAACAATGACCAGATCGTCGAGCATCGAAACAGCATCGGCGAAAAAGAGTGAACCGTCATCGGAACGTGAAACACGGCGCACATCGCATGATCGGCGAAAGAGCCGAGGCCACAGTGAAACGGAGTGTAATGATGCCGATATTGAGGAAAATGAAACAAATAACGATACATCGAATGCAATTGTGCGACGAGAGAATCTACGCCAATTGGAAAACAGCATGATTTCATTGCGAAAAAGTTTTCGATTCGCTGCAAACAATAATGAACGTGTATCGAATAACAATAACAACAACAACAACAATAATAATAATAAGAGCACCAATAACAATAATTGTAAAACAAACAACCATTCAAAACGGTCACAACGCATTGGAAGCAATGAGAACAGCGATGGCAGCAACGAAAATACCAAATCGACACAGTACAGTTGCCCGATCTGCGGCGTTTGCTCAGCCACACAGCATGACTTCACCGAACACATACGCGGCCACAATAATTCGGATGGAAGTCATAATTATACATGTCAGATCTGCTTTAAGGTAAAGTAAATTGATGATTTAAAACGCATGATCGTCATTCGTCATATTGATATTTAATATTGGCTCCCGTTTGATGTGCATACGAGTATGTGTGTGCGCGCTCTGTCTGCACAGGCGACACACATCTCTTGTTCACTTCACTGTTTATTTTTCTGTTTTTTTGTTGTTGCTTTTTTTCTGTTCATGCAATCTTCGTGTGTTGTCGTTTGTGTACTTTTCTCAGTAAAAAGAGAAGATTGCCTAACGACAACATTTTCCTGTGTGCATTTAATAGTTTTTTTTATGGATAATTTGGTTCCGCTATGATTTTTCTCCCTCTTCATTCCATCCATCGGCGTACGGAATTAATGTTAAATTCATGTTTTTAATATTTTGTTTCGTTTTTTTTTTTCGTTGTTTATTTCGTTAAACATTAGGTTGTATCATCGGCATCCTCTCTTGATCGGCATGTTTTGGTGCACACAGGCGAACGGCCATTCACGTGCAAATATTGCCACGTGACATTTACAACGAATGGCAATATGCATCGTCATATGCGCACGCACAAACACCGAGATGGTTTGACAAACAAAGGTGCAGCTTCCGCAGTAACGAGCAACAGTAGCAACAGCAGCAACGACCCCAATTCAACCGAACCAAAATCGAGCCATCGACGCACCGGTGAAACATACGAGAGCGATGGATCGACGGATTCAAATGCCAGTGGCTCTGGTACAGATGGCAAACGAAAGAATCATGATGACAGTTATTCATCGATTGGCATGAAACGACGTCTAAAAACCATCAATAATAACAATTTAATCAATAACAATTCGATTAATGTTAATAGCAATGTTCAGCCTCAACGATTCTGTTGCCCGGTTTGTGTGCGTAATGATTTTTTAACGATGATTAGCTTAGAAAATCATGTCGATACGGAGCATCCAAGCATTCAGGCCAAGTGCCGTTGCTGTGAGATCGTGTTCAAGAGTTACAAAGCGCTCAATGCACACAAATGCACGGTCAACAATAAACCACCGCACATTACGCAAGGCTTCAAGGATCTCACATTCGTTGATTTTTCGAGTGAAAAATTCCCGCTGATTGCAAAGGTTGCATGTGAGAAGAGCATTCGCACTCCGGTCACTAATCAAAAATATGAATGTCCACGATGCTATCGCGCTTTTCCATGCTCAAGTGCCGTTGAAATTCATGCATTGAAATGTGGCGATTTGAAGCAATCCGTTTCGCTACGCAAACGAGCTTTGTCCGAGACATCTGATGAGGCTGACAACCGTCGACGTGACGATTTCTTCGCTCACTTGGATTTGAAGAACAAACATGACGATTTGAACGATTCATTCCAGTCCGGCTACAATTCCGATACGGATGTGATTGAGCACAAAAAATCACGCATTTCCAAAGATGATTGGTACACAAAAGCGGCGAATGGTGAATACAAAGATTTGGCTGACATTCAATCGATGATTAACGTTAGCTCAGCGGGCAGTGAACTGTTGCGTCAACTCGATCAACCGATGTCCTCGATGGCATCATCAAATGAACAACTCTATTCGCGCGAAGAAGAAGAACAACAAGATGCTTTCACCGCTGAATTCCGCAAAATGAAATTGCGTGGCGAATTCCCGTGCAAGCTATGCACTGCGGTATTTCCGAATTTACGCGCACTCAAAGGTCACAATCGCATTCACTTGACGGCAGCTGGTGCGGGACCGAATGCAGTATTCCGTTGCAACATGTGTCCGTATTCGATTCATGACAAAGCCGCTTTAATACGTCACATGCGCACACACAACGGTGATCGCCCATATGAATGTGCCATTTGCAATTATGCATTCACCACCAAAGCCAACTGCGAACGACATTTACGCAATCGACATGGAAAGAGCACACGCGATGAGGTCAAACGTGCAATTATCTACCATCCGTCAGAAGATTCGAGTTGCGATGATCCGGTGAAGAAGATGCAAATCTTTAATATGTCATTCGAAGAAGATGAATTACCGCCTAAAGATCGCTCAACACCAGTTTCGCTCATCAAGGATTCGCCCAATTCAAGTGCTGAAAAGGTGGCAAAGATCCAAGTCAAGAGCATCGATCAATTGACCCAGTACAAGAATCAAGTCACCGATTTGAGTGAAAATGAAACGAAACCGATCAAATTGACCGACACAAAGCCAATGGATCTGTCGATGGACGTATTGGATTTGAGCAAAAAGAATGCCAGCGATCTGTTGTCAGCACCCGATATGTCATTGTTTGAGAAAAATCAGCAATTGTTTCTGGCCCAACAGAAACTTCTCAGCGAAGCATTGCCACAAATTGATCCAGCTCATTATTTCCAGTTGTCACAGTTGTATCGTAATCTAGTGTTCCCAACGACTGGACTTCCTTTGCATCCATTTTTTTTGCAAAATCAACTGTTGGCCCAATTGCCGACGCCAAATTTCAACGAATTGAAAAATCTCATGAAAAACGATGTGCTCTCAACGCCAACCAACAACATGTACCCGAACGGCATGTTCATCAATCCAATCTTTCCAACGCCGCCAAATATGCCGCAAGCCAATTTCCCCACATCGACTCTGCTACAGGAAGCTTTGAAACAGGAATCACCGCCACAACGAAATGCAACGCCACCAGCCGTTCAATTGCCACTCACTCCGCAAACACCACGCTCTTCCAGAGGAGTTCAAATGCCACAAAGGCCACAACCGATGCCGCGCATCTCAAGCCCGGGCCCCGTTAAAATGGTCATCAAAAATGGTGTTCTCATGCCAAAGCAAAAACAACGTCGCTATCGCACTGAACGACCATTCGCCTGCGATCATTGCTCAGCCCGGTTCACATTGCGATCGAACATGGAACGTCATATCAAGCAACAGCATCCACAATTTTGGGCTCAGCGTCAACGTAGCGGCCATAATTTTATACGCCGTAGCAGCAACACCAGTCTCACACCGACCTCGTCGATGCAAAATCAAGATTTGTCTAGCTCAAGTTTGATGGAAAACAAAAATGCATTCAACGCCATTTCGGATCAGGTGAAATTCGCAATCCTTGCTCAACAGCTCAAGAGCCGATCCAACAAAAGCTTCGATTCGATGGAAGAACAAGACGAAAATGATGAAGACGCTGAAAATTACAAGGATGACATGGATGAACCGAAACTATTCATCGATGAAGACGATGATTCTGAGCCAAGAGATTTATCGCACAAGAATATCAAACGTTCACTTTCACCGATCGACAACAATGCAGTGGCAAAGAAAATCGCAAAGAATATTTTGCTCGAGGCAATTAACGCAGAATCACATACCACCGAAAAAATGGATATCCGTTCGAAAGCTTCGAAGGAAAGCTATGAAAATCGCTCACGCAAATCATCGAAAGACGAAAACGATCTGGTTTCGGTTTCAACACTCGTCGACAATGCAACCAATTCGGTTGGTTTGGGTAAATACTTCAATGCCGACTGTCAATCGAATGAACACAGCGATGAAGAGGGTTTAGTTGCTTCGGGAAGCACATCTGAAGGCAATAATTCGGGCACTGAAGATCCAAACCCGAATCCAGCGGAAGGAAAGAAGAAATCGGCCTACAGTTTGGCTCCGAATCGTGTTTCGTGCCCATACTGTCAACGCATGTTCCCTTGGTCGAGCTCATTGCGTCGTCACATTCTCACTCACACCGGGCAAAAGCCATTCAAGTGTTCACAATGTCCGTTGCTCTTCACCACCAAGAGTAACTGCGATCGTCATTTGCTTCGTAAACACGGTGACGTTGATTCGGCCGTTTCATTGTACGTTCCCATTGAAGACATTCCCGATCCAATAACGAAGCCAGTACGTTCGCCATCGCCACCGCCACCACCAGCAAAGTCAATCATTCCGACTCAGCCGATTTTGCCACAAATTCAATTGAACATTCCACCATTGAAGAACGACATTTCGGCCGGATCCAACAGCGATTTACCATTCAAGTGTCACTTGTGCGATGGATCGTTTGGAGATCGCTTCTCGTGTTTGGACCACATCAAAGTGTATCATTCGCAAGAGTTTGCATTGTTATTGGCAAAAGGTGCCATTGAGCCCGAAGACGATGTGCAGGAAATTCAAGCCGTTTCAGCCGAAGATGAGAAAGAGCAAAATGAAAATGGTGGCCGTGGCAAATATCCAGATTATGCAAATCGCAAAGTGATTTGTGCATTCTGTGTGCGCCGTTTTTGGTCAACGGAAGATTTGCGTCGTCATATGCGCACTCATTCGGGTGAACGTCCATTCCGTAAGTATTTTTTTTATAAACGTCTATAATTAATCATCTAAGAAGAAGCCAAGAACTAATTAAGAACAGTCGAGTTTTTGAACTAACCCATTTTCTTTCATTCTTTTTACTTAAACAGAATGCGGCATTTGCATGCGCAAATTCACACTAAAGCACAGCATGCTGCGTCATCAGAAGAAACATGCCAACAGTTTGAATTCGAATCATCATCACAGTGCATCCGATTTATCGGATGACGAACAGCAACTGTCAAGCACACCACCACCCATGCCAAAAATTGCACCCGAAAAAATGGCATCACTTGCCGACGCTCTATTGAAAACGCAAAATCTTTCCGAATTAATTGCAAAGAAATTCCTAATGAACAGAGCATTGGGAGAGCGCGACGATGGAGACAACCGACGAGCCACCGGATCAACAGAAGGTGGCCTTGACAGCGAAGAAACATCTGAATTGATTGGAAATCTATTGGGCATCAGCGATTCAAGCATCCTAAACAAAGTCCTCTTGTCATCAGCCGACGAAGCAGCCAAATTGCTCGGAGTCGAAAAGTAAATTTTTGATTCAAAACCAAGAAAGAAGAACACATTCAATTTTCACAGATTTTTTGCATATTTCTAGTCGTTCATCGAAACGAGTGTAGGGAAACGACATGTAGCAAGAAAAGAATAATAAATACCAAATACATATTGAAACAGTCTTAGAATTTTTTCCAAAAAAAAAAAAACACAAAAACATATACGAAACTGAAAATCAATGGAATTTCACAAAGAAAAAGAATAAAACCAAAAGTTACGGATACGCCTATAACCAAACCACCACATATCGAGTTTATTAAATTTTACATTGAAAATTTTTTAAACAATTTTAACCGATATGTGCCTTGACAATTTGAATTGAAGCGCCTTTTACCAAGTAATGGAAAACATTTACAAATGTGTCTTGAATAAACATGTTCATTAGACGAAACAAACATTTAAATTATATCACCGTAGCAAAATAAGTAGGGTTCGATGTTAGATTTTCTGATGAGTGGACACAATAATGGAGATTAACTCTCAACATTTTGATGCATGTTCTCGTTTACGTTTCTTCTCCAGCATGTAAATATTTTTAAGAAGATTATGTAAAACGCCATAATTTAAACGAAATGAAGATGCCTAAATTTTACAAGATTTGTTTTTTTTTTTTAAATCATAAACTTGAAATGTTTTAAATTTTTTTTCTAATTTATTCCATTTGATTTTGAAGAAAACTATTAAACAATTTTAGATTTTAGATTGAAATTGATTTCGAACGAAAATGGTACTGTTATCACAGACACTTAGTTAAGTTTTTAAGATGATGGCTTTTAAATAACGGAACAAACAGCTGACAAAAATTTAAAGAAAAATGAACAATGAATGTGTCTGAAAACCAATTTGATGAAAAAAAAAAACAAAATATGACAATTTAAAATTGTGTGGCCTTTACAATGCAGTGGCTTACAAATGTTCCGTAGTTGGCGCATTAGAGCATAAGCAAAAGACATATATAAAATAATTTGAAACAAAACATAATCCAAGCAACAACAATTTTTTAGAGAATAAAGTCAACATGAAAATACAACGATATAATTATTGAATGGCTTTTTTGCATCGAAACGAGCTAACCACGAAAAGAGCATCCCATCAATAGAAGATGTTTTTTAAGACGAAATGTGTGTAACATTTTTTGCTTTTGTTTTCGTCTCATTTCAATTGATAGAAGAATAAGGGGTTGAAAACGAAAATGATGAACACAAATCATATAATAGTAGCCTATCGTAAATCGTTAAGATAGCAAAAAGCAACCAGACAAAAACCTGTCAAACAACTGTTGTGTCGATTGTCGTCGCGCATATACAAACACCATATAATTTTTTCCCCTTTCATTTTACATTTCTTTCGTCCCATTTTGTCGATTCACGGTACATGTATATTTATCTATTCAATGAAGAAAAAAAAACGCAATCTGGTCTCAATTCGTTTCGGTTTCAATATAATGAGTTCGGTGTGTGCACAGCTAAATATGTGTGACATCGAAAAAGGTCATTTCGATTGTACATTCTTAAAAGTTCATGTAGTGCAAAGCAGCAGCAAGAGTCAAAATTAGGCGTTTATCTCGTGTAAATTTCCGAAAAGGAAGACGCACCGAGAGAGAAAGAGGAAATTTCGAATAAGTGTTTATCTCGTGGAATATGAATATAATGAATGGCTGATGTCATGAGTCGTAGTGCAAAATGGCATTCACACACACACGCAAGATGAAGTTGCATGATTTGATCACACGCTGTGGCAACGATTTTCTATGGAGGCAATGGTTTTCAGTTTTGGCAATACCATAATTTTCGTACAACGAATATTCCATGACGAATTGCCCCCAGAAAAAGAAAACAAACAAACAAACAAACAGTTTAAACCGCTCAAAATCCGAGTTGCCATCATTAATTCAGTAGAAAAATAGACGATAATTATATTTATATCTTACTTAAATTAGTAATAGTCTCTAAAAAACAAAAACAAACTGTTTTTGCGATGAGCCTTTAGAATTAAAAAGAAACAATTGCACCGACACCTGCCTTGAACGATTTTTTTCCGATTTTTCAATAGTCTTTCTTGAGTTGTTCGCACAATCTTTTGCACACAACAATACTTTTGAATGGATGATAAACAAAAATCCGTTCGCATCACGCGAATAATGAAAAAAATGCCTTTTCCAAATATTTAAAACATAACAGACAACTGTATCATCATCTTATCGTAGTCTACTTAGAACTTAGCGTATTCATTACTTAGAGAAACAATGAAACAAATAATGTTTGAAAATTTTATTAGTAAATACAGCATATTACCAAAGCAATAAAGCTTTTTCTGAAAAAAAAAAATCAGCTGAACATCTCCACGTTTCATCTTTCAAAACAAAAAGGAAAATGATGACGATTTTGAATTTTGTTTAAAGACAAAACCAATTTTAAGAAAAAATTGTAATGCAAATGCATGAAATCTAAGGAATGGTGTCTCTCTCCATCTATCCCTATGTGCTAGAGAGAGGGAGACCATTCTTGGGAAATTTTAGTCTTTCAAACATCCAATTTTAGGCATGTTGAAAACTTAGTTTAAACCTTAGAGTTGTATAGTGGATAACACAAATATAAAATATTCTAGTCGAAAATGGGAGTGTTTCAATGAGTTTCTTGAGCGCAACGACTATTGTTTCTGTTCGCGCTGCAAGCAAATTGGTACATTTTTGATTGCTTGATTTGTTTCTTTTGACAGAAAAAAAATGTCCTGCTTTTATTGAGTCCACAGCGCAAAACCAACTAAAAAAAATACCTTCCAAAGTGTTAATCTTTGTAACAAAACGAACAACATTTTTGATTCCTTTTCTTGTGCTTTTTTATCGATCTTTATGTTGTCACTTTTAGATTTGTGAATCGCTTCAGTTCCAAAAAACAACAACAACAAAAAATACATAATCAAATTAGATTGTAGAGCAAATATCGAGTGAATTCTAGAAAATAGCACTTACGATTGTGGAGTAGTCGAGTTACGAGTTAAGTCCGTAGTAAAAATGAACATTATTTATCATTAATGACAAACAAACAAAAAAAAAGAAAACATTTTGTTCTCACCTCAAATGTAGCTATTTAAGAGTGCACCCCATTTAGTTTGAAAACTATCAATAAACAATTTTGCAAACATATATTCGTTGACAGCACCGGCCAAAAATATACAATTAGAATCCAAACCAAATAACCACACAATAGCTAAAACACAGTGAAAACTGAACAGAATAAGCAAAGCAAAAAAAATACCCAAGTTTAATGTTAGAAACACGAAATTCGATTCAAAATCAAGCCAACTTCTACATTCCAATTTGCAATGTTTCATCGAAAAATCATGAAGAAAAACCCATCTCAATTAAATCATTATGAAAAAAGTGGATTTCGGATTATTCTTTTGGAAAAAAAATCTCATTCAAACTCAAATAGCAAAACTCTATCCTTAAACGCATTGACAGCTAACAATCAAATGTAAACGCAAATATTGTAAGCATCAGACGCATTAGATTAGATTAAAAACAAGTATTTTGTGTAGATTCTTAAATGAAATTGTATCAATTATTATTCAAATCAAAAAAATCAAAAGAAATGAAATAAAGAATACAACTTTAATCAAATTAACTGAAACTCAATCGGATTTTTATCATTTTTTCCTAATTTACAGCTTCAATTTTGCTTTTTGCTTACAGCTAGTATTTAATTAATTTTTTTTGAAAATCAATCAGGAAATGATGAGAGAGACTATCAATAGTTGAGCTTGTATCTTAAGCCGTGTGCTTGTTTTGATGTATGCGAATCATGACGTTGTATTTCGATCAAATTGAAATTAAGTCCCTTCGATTCCCACCTGGTCGTCAAATAAACCTCTTCCTTGACGTAGATTATCACTTTTCGAGCTCCCTCCAGTTTTTTCCGTACATTATTCAGTGCAGATATATCAAGTGAATTTTCTTCGAAGTGTATGACGTCGATCTCTGTCAAATTCCGTGAATAACGAATAAACGGCCAAATATCACGAACAGATGTCTTATTAATGACCAATCGTTCTAAATTAATGCAAAGACTTGGAATTTCGTGCACATTAAATCCTTCACTGCATAATTTGCTCAAGTTGACATTCAAACCAAGTTCCTTCAGTGTAGTCAACGGTGGTAGCTTAACATCATCTCCAACGTACAGGGTAACAAGACCGCTCAATGCAGCTATTTGGTCTTCCGATAGGCTTTGGTATGCGTTGACATGCAATCGTTTGTAAAAACGGCGTTGGTGCAGATCATTCAAAGTAGCGTAGAATCCTTCATTCATATCCGTTATATTTTCAATGGTTAAATCATCCAACTTGGCATTGGATTCAAGCATGGAGCGTCGATTAACCCAAATTGAATCTGCGTCGGTTATGAGATGGCGCACTGTTGGATTTGATTTGAAAAATCCATTCAATTCATCGTTTGCAAAGGGTTTGTTTGTAGTTATGTGTATCTGCTCGAGTACCGGATATTTTTGCGATAAACATTCTTCATGAAAGTCATCATGAATTTTGAGACTCTTCAATTGCACACAATGTTTTAGGACATTTGCATAAATATCACCATCGACAACGCAATCGTTGATATCAAATGTTGCCAGATTCGGTAGAACCGGTTTCAGCAGCTCAATAGATTGTTGAGTTAGGCTAGAATTTACCAAACGCGCATGCTTTAGTGCTTTGCAATCAGACACAAAGTGCTCGTCCAACACATCGTAACTATCCAATTCAATGGTCTGTGCGAATTGAATAAAATCCGGAATGTTATCTGCCACAGAACCATCAATGTAACACCATATGGAAAATGCTGGATATTTCCATTGGAAATATTTGCCGGTGACACATTGAAAGGTTTTACATGTTTGACCAAATGAATGCACCTCTTCAGTTGACAGCAAATCAAACACCTCATCCCAGCAATCCGCATCTAATTTGAAAACCGATGGTGGAGATTCAACGTTTGGTGGAATTGGATTATCCACGGCCAATTGATTTTGGTCCTGCTCAACGTTTTGTTGTGGATTTTCAGCAGCTATGACATTCTGTTGATCCATCATGGAACAAATGCAATTGTTTGAACGGTGATGATCGTATCTGGATATTTGGAGATAAGATAGAAAACATATTTAACTCGGAATAATTCCCATAAATAATTCCCATGAATGAAGTCGATTTACCTCCAACTTGTTGACAGCAGAGAGGCTTTGATTGAATCGTACCACAAAAATCCAATGATATAGCTTGTTTTGTGTCTTATCTTCTGTTCGCTTTGACATTAATAAACCTTTTACGTTACAAAATTATTTTCTTCGTTGGCCCAATGCAAAACTGACTGTCTTTTTGAACCGTCGTGAACCGTCGAGTGTCTTTTGCGTCTTTTTTTATCGCTAGTACATTGTCAGTGTTAACAATAATTTGCGGCAAATGTCTAAGCTTGTCGAACACAATTAAACTGACACTTCCTGCTTGCAATGTATAGGAACGCACCCCGAAACAGATGTTCGTTTGACGTTTTACGGAGCTGTCAAGTAATTTGTTTCTCTCTTCTAATCCATCGCGTCTATTGTTTACATTGTGAACATCTTATCAAATCTCTCTCTCTCATTTTTTTTATTAGCTTAAAATTAGAGATCGACTGTTTTTGTAAAATAATCGCAAATTTCAAAATGAATACAGTATTTCTAGAACGAATATGTCGGTGTTGCTTGAATGAAAGTGAATCTATGTCAAGTTTGTTTGATCGTGTCGGAGGTATAGAATCATTCACATTTGAACAGCACTTTACCTATTCCGATTTAATTTTTATGTGTACGAATGTGCGTTGTGATTTGGATGTAATCGATGCTAATGAGCACGTCGTTGAACTGCCGCGGAATGTGTGCGAGTTGTGTTTGCAAGAATTACGTGCCGCTTTCATATTCCGACAGAAATGTGAGTCGAATGACCATTTACTTCGTGAACAAACGGTTGGACTCAGCAGTCATAGCACCGAAGAAATTGTTGAGTTTGATCAAACGACCGACGACAGAAAGATTAGCAAAACAATAACAATAGAAAAAATTGACCGAATTTTACCAAACGAGTGTGTTTTCTATGACAATGAAAAGCAAATATTGGTCGCCGTCAATGAACCAAATTCGAATAGATCAAACGAAATTGAACTTGAAATAGTTTCGGTGAATTGCGACACCATAGAAAACTTACCATTTGTACCGGAACAGCAAACTACCGGTAAGATAACATGAAATAAAATTATAGCTGTGCTCACGATTTTTTTTAATCAAGATATCGTAATAAACTAAAAATATCGTTCGATATCGTTATTATGATGGAATCTTAATAACGCTATCAACTTTTTATCAGGATATCAACTATATTCAAATAATAACGTTATCGGATGAATCTTAATAATCATCAAGTTCTGGGAG